ACTCACTCAATTTTAATAAATCAATTTTGAATTAATGAATTGCAACTTGCATTATTCGTATACCGCGCCATTGACCAAACAAAAGGGAATTTTCGAACTGTGGGGCACTGTTCGATAAACGACAGTAGAGGGTTTTAGGTGAGCCCTTGGCCCTCCACGGCGCTTTTATCCTCCGCGTGCAAAACTCACTCAATTTTAATCAATCAATTTTGTATTGCAACTTGCATTATTCGTATACCGCGCCATTGACCAAACAAAAGAGAATTTTTCGAACTGGGGCACTTTTCGAAAAACGACAGTTAGAGGGTTTTAGGTGGGTCCTTGACTCTCCATGGCGCCCTTATCCTCCGCGTCCAAAACTCACTCACTCACACACTTGCGCAATTTGTCCACTTCGGGGACGAATTTGTCGAGGTTTAGGGCTCTTTTCCAAAAAGGGGATGAAAATTGGCCCCGGTGCAATCACTTTCGAAGGCTGTTGATTTAAAAAAAAAGAATGTAACTTCAGCGCGATCCTAGTTATTTTTTGTTTCCCCGTTTAGGTTGGTACCATTCCAAAAGCGAATGTCCCTAAAGGTGGGTTCATAGCTCTCCGTTCATCCGTTGCGTTGGTCTGTCAAACGGATAATGCATTTTATTAAGGTTCATAGCAATCCGTCCACATTGTACATTTGCAACGTATAACCATAACCTAAATTTTATTTTGTACTGTACCCTCCGTGATTTTCAGTATGTAAAAATGGTACGAAACTAAGAGCACGTTGCTGTCTGATTATTACCGTGAAGAACGAATAGGCGAACACTGTTAACGTACCAAACATAACCTAACTCTTGTTAAAAACGGAACAACGGAAACGTAAATGTTCAACTTCAACTAACTTTTCCGTCGTAAACGGACGACGTACGATTTAAAAATTTGCTGTCTTCTGATTGGCTAACGGACAAACGGAAACGTAAGAACGGAGAGCTATGAACCCACCTTTAGACCCATTGAACTACAGGGTGGGGCAGAAGAACTTGCTGATTTGTATTCGGCGCCCTTAGGCGACGGTTGCTCCGACGAAAGTGGGAATAGGTATATTTGAGAGAAGGGCATATAAAGTTTTTCCGCCGCGTAGTGTAGTTACCATCAGGGGGTGGACGAAGGCGGGACGCCCGTTCGCCGTCGAGGTATACTTTTCTAACGGTCGCTCAGACATAGCCACGCAACGTGCATTCCGTACTCATTTTAATATCGCGCCACGTGGACGTGTTCCTGGGGGCCGATTCTAACTGATTTCAACGGTCGAAAAAGAATTTCGACGGCGCCATGACACCAAATTGCTACTGTTAGGGTGTAATAGGAAGTTTATGTTTCTTTAAGTTTGCTCTTATATTTTGCTAAGTTGGCTGTCTGATTTTGAACTATTTTAAACTTTATATACAAAACCATATGTTCGACCCTAACCCTACAGTAGCTACAATCGTATCTATTATTATGCCTCCATGAAGGAAATTAAAATGGTTTTTTGTTGGGATGTGATTTTAGTCTCCGACATTGTAAGATACGTAGGTAACAGTAAAACAAAACAAAGCCACGGATAAAAAATGTAAACAGTGTACCAAAACACAAAATTGAGGATAAAACCACGTGCGACTTTCCGAATAACAAAGGGCGCACTGTCGCTATCCCTTCTATTTCGACGTTGAAATCGTAATTTCAACCACTCTAGTCTAGTTGAATTTATTTTCAACGGTAGAGAAGTTATGACGTTTCAATGACGTATATTAGTAGTTCATGATAACACCGATAGATGGTTACGATCGCAATTTCGACGCAACTACTGAAATTTCAACCGTCGAAATCAGTTAGAATCGGCCCCCTGGCCGACAATCCATTGTTTCATGGGTCAACAATTTTAGGGAAACTGGTGATGTGAAGAAAAAAAATTAAAATGAGTACGGAATGCACGTTGCGTGGCTATGACTGAGCGACCGTTAGAAAAGTATGCCTCGACGGCGAACGGGCGTTCCGCCTTCGTCCACCCCCTGATGGTGACTACACTACGCGGCGGAAAAACTTTATATGCCCTTCTCTCAAATATACCTATTCCCACTTTCGTCGGAGCAACCGTCGCCCAAGGGCGCCGAATACAAATCAGCAAGTTCCTCTGCCCCACCCTATACTCTTGTAACGTATATAGTTCAATGCATTGAGTTAGAAAACTAATGGAAGGAATATAATGGTAGAGGGGGTAAGAATTTTTGTAGACGGAAGTTGCCACAGATAGAGGCCACTCGCGTGGATAGGTTCCCGTGAAGGTACATTTTGGCCGACATTATTTGACACATTAAAACGCGGGTCCTGTCACTGTCAGTTTTCCACCAAATTCAAATTTTATTAAATTTGCCATTTTAAAGTACCTAATAATTTCGGATCGGTTTGTGCTCTCGTTTATAATTAACTGCCGCCATAGAGTAAATAATTATTTACTCTATGCTGCCGCATAGTGTTTTTATCACACGCAATTTTGTGAATTGAGAATGATTAGCTGCGTATCATGCAAAATTTCTCATAAAGCGAAGAAACAGGGCATTTCCTTTCATCGGTAAGACATGTCATCTATCATGTTGTAGGCGAGGTTGTAGGTACCTAGTTTATGTTTCTTAGTTTTCCAAACGAACCAGTACTTCGAGCAAAATGATTACCTAACATTTGTAAATATATCTCAAGAACAGCTCTCGAAATTTACTTTTGTGCTCACAACGCTTCATTGACTGTGATTTCGACCAAAGGTTGCACCGGAAAATGTTCATCAAATATCTCGTCAAATATGGAAATATGCAGTAGGTACTATCACAACTTGTAATGAACCTGAGACCAACCAATCAATTGTAGCTATTGATCAACACAATGAATTTAATGGGAGTTGTCAAGTTGTAGTGGCTATAGTAAACTGGCCTTAATTATAAATGGAACACATCGATGTATATTTAGATTTGTAATCAATGATTATATTAAATCTGCATACTTTCCCATCCTTGTCTATTTTGTTTACTTTACCACGAGCACGAGCATATATTTTACTCCTTCTATACGTTTTTTTTTGTTATTATTCCTATTAGTGGAAAGAAAATTATATCTCTACGCCACTGAAGTGAGACAATGATAACGGAAGTGGTGTGGTCTCGGGTGTGGTACTTTAATCACAGTTAGAGGCCACGTTTGGTTCCCGTGGTCTACGTCTGGCCAAGCATTTGATTCCCTCCATTACTTTTCTAACTCAATGGTTCAATGCTTAGACCCTGTCGATTCCCGAAGATGTGTTTTGTTCACATCGACTGACCTTGATGTGAACGTCAATGCCACTGCATTCTCGAATCTACCACATCGAGCGAAAAGTTGATCGAACGCAACGACTGGTCTAGACCACTCGTTGCGTGAAAGTCATGCGCAGTTGCAGTGCAGCTACAGGGCGGATCTTGCAGCTGTTTTGCTATAGAGGTTATTCAGTGCCCTAACCTATAAATTCACATATTTTCTGTGAAATAAAACATGGAATTGTTCGAGGATTTTCTGGTTATCAGTATCATAATGCAAAAACAAAACAAAATACAAAACTGACAAATGACAGTTCAATTCTTGTCTGTGATTGGTTAGCGCATAAAGTTTGTCCACGATTCGGGAATGCAGCTAAACTTGAACTTATCCCTATCGTATACGATCATGACGTCATGGCAGCCGGTCACATCACATGCACATCACGGAGCATATCGACTAACTTCGGGAATCGATGCCATATAGTACATGGACTGCTATTAGTCCTATGCTTTCAATACAAAATGGTTGGTCACAGATAGGGGGCACTGTGGTCGTGGGTATGTGAATCTTAGGGTAAACTAAAGTCGTATGAACACCACTCGGATCGCGTAAAGAGTAAGGCGGGTTTAGGCTCGTACGCAGAACGGCGCTGCTGCAGAAAGTCGCAGCCGCAGGTAGTTCGAGACCATGTTGATATACGGCCTTGTTTACGCTTGAACGCACCAATACAAAACGTAGGTTGCCGCAAATATGCTTGTCTGTAGGAGACGCAGAAGTTCGCAGAATTTAAACTTTGTACGCAGTTGTTTGTAGTCGGGCGTACAGCTCTTCTTGATCCTTTGTCACCATTACTTGAAAAACATTTAGAAACCTTCCAAATTTTCTCCTATATTTGTTAACAGGTCTTACTGCCCACCGTCGTACCCTCCTTTGAGTATGCAAGAGCCCCAACTCATTACTTAACGCCGTTAGTAACAGTATTTTCTTTAATTTAATTCTCTTCTTGTCTGCCATTGCAGAAATTAATCAAAAATCTGTTTTTTCTATTCACTTAACCAACCACGTTATTTAACGACCAAAAGAGGTTAGGTTTTAAATGTCAATTTCGACACTTGAACGCTGAGAACAACTGCGTACCAACATAAACAGATAGATCACTAGTACACACGGGGGCGTACTTCTGCAGCTGAAATTTCCACTCACTTCTGCAACGTGTGCATTCTGCGTACGAGCCTAAACCCGCCTTAACTTTTATGGTAACCGCGTAGTACGGGAAGCTTTAAATACTCTTGATTTTCTTCTATACGTCCACAAATACGAATAGGTTTGCTTTTTTTGCCATATCTAGATTAATTAATTGACGTTTGTTAATTTATAGGTTGACAGTGTCAAATCGTGTCTAATCGGATAGACTCGTTTACCCTGAAATTCACATACCCAGGCGATATCCTTGACCATATTTTAGTTACAATTAGCAGTCCATGTACTATATGGTCTAAGGAATGTCCTTAAAAAAAGCGAATGTAACTTCAGGCTGATGGAAATAGGCTCGAGTTTCCAGACCTGTATATACGACCGTGTATAAAACGGTGTTTGTATAAAATAGGTCTCTCAGACACAGCCATTTTTTATCGAAACTGACAAACTGTACCATAGCCACATCCATCAGCTGCAAATTTAAAAATTGGGGAAAAGCAAAAACTAGAAAACAACTTTAATAAAAAAAACAACAATATCAATAATTGGTTTGTGTCTGAAATTCTTCACAAGTTTTCGTGTGGTTCCTAAAATACAAATCGTTAACATCTCGTGCCGAGAACGTACGTGACCACCTCACTTTATCATTGCAGGTAATTCGCTCCATTTGTATATGCAATCGTGTCCGAATCCAAACTTGTGTGATAACTGATGAAAAACGACACCTCCCTGTGTCGCGGCATCGCGATTCTGTGCACTTTTCAACACCTAAAATAGACCATTACCGCATTACCCTCATAAAAACCCAGCACCGACTTTAACTCCCAACGAAAACGGCGTGTGACGATCGTCTTTCGCATGCAGCATCATTATCGGACAGTCGACTTTTAGTAGGTAATCGACCGTGCGTAAACTAAATCCGTTTTTCTCCAGCGGATCCAACATCGTCGACTCATACCACGGCATCCACGAGTATATAATCTTAAATGCGAGAATTAGCAGACGGATCATCTCGTCGCGATTACTTTGTACGGCGACGTCTCTCGTAGTTGATCCGTGATCGTGGTGAACGGCGCCTCTAACACCAAACCGGCTGGCACGATGTCCTCCTCGTGCAGTTTAGAGATCGTGTGCGTGGCCAGGGCGGCCCCAATTCCGTGCCCCCAAAAGTATACGTCGGCGACTGAGAGCGCCTGCACCCACTTGTAAATCCTGATCGAGTCGCTTACAATCTCGTCTTCCGACGGAAGCGCGTGGGAGGAATCGGCGTAGCCTGCAAGATTGTAGCGGTGCAACCGTCGCGGAGTCACGGTCATGCTCACCTCGGTAGTCGAACGCGATTACGTGGAAAAACTGTCTTAGTACCCGGTAAAGGGGGGCGTACTGTATGCGATTGCCGCCGTTCTCGTGGAAATGCAGCACGATCGGGTAGTCGAGGTCGGTGAGTGTCCGGTCGTAATCGAAGCTCCCGCTTTCCGACTCGTTGATCAACGGTTCGGGCAGCAAGTGCCACACGCCCACGACGAGATTTCGTTCGTCGTCGACGGGTAGGTAGAGCAGCCGGGACCCGGACAGGTTGTACTTTTTAAAATTGCCGTACTCCGAGTGCTTGGGCAGTAGGTCATCTGAAATTGTGTCCGGTGAACGCTCGGAGCTCGGTTATGGGGAGCCGTACCTGTCGGAAACACGAGGCTTCGCTGTAAGTCGATGGTGTGCTTGAACAGGAACGGGTACCCGACGAATACGAGAAGAAAGGCGACCACTAAGAGAACTAATCTGAAACGTCGACGGTAAGTCGAGATCGGTCACGACCGTGGGTCACTTACATGAATATAAGCGTAATTAGGCAACAGGTGAGGCAGCAGTTTTTTCGCCTAGGCCTTTGGCTTTCGTAGTACAAAAGCGAGTCCTGCACGCCGCTATTTTTGTTTGGCACTTTCCCAGGCATTTCAGACAAAAGTGCCTCGCCGCGAGTATACTGACCTTGCCTTCTCAACTTTTTTTTAAAAATAAACTTATTTCCTATACTGACTAAATACGTAAAGGTCACAGCAGAAATTATGTCAGCAATTACATCACTCGCGTAATTGTAATCTTCGATTTGTGATTCACGGATTTTTAAATTTAAAATGTGGGACACGACGCGCGGACGTCGCCCGGCCAGTTATAGAACTGAATTTATTAGAAAAATATACGATCCACGAAAATAAATTATTGCGGCGCGTGTTTGTTTAATCTTATCGTTTCTTTTTTTTTTAACATGTCGCGTTGAAGGTAAGTGGAACGGTTCTCTGACCCCGCCGGATCGGAAGATCTGTCTCGTTTTAACAGTTTGATATTATGTAATTGTTGCTCGCTCTTTTCATTGCAGGTGTATGGGAAGGATATAACAAAGGCATGTGGTCCGTGTGCCCTTCGAACCGTATACCTCTGTATTTGGCCTTTGGCCCGCTTTTTTCATGCATAATCATTGTATAATTAAAAGCGAAAGCGCGAAGCAGGGTATTCCCATGTGGGAATTCATTAAGAAGCGATATATAGGCAACCGCACTTGCAAACTAACGCGTTCCACCAGAAATTACTAATTAGGAGTTCTGGGGGAAGCCCTCCCCCTTGAAGTTCAGTCTTAGAAGGTGTTCCTGGTCATAAAACACCGATTTTGAAAATATGGAGGGAGGAGCGAACTTCAGGTAGCCCCTCAACAGGAGCCACAAGGGTTTCTCGCTAATATTAAAAGAACAAAAACAAATATGTAGTGCCCAAAGATGACAGCTCCCGCGCTAACAAAATCGAGAAAACACTCGTACCCAAAGCTTACTATCGGAAAGGTGGAACAGAAATACACACTTATTTCATTCGAAAAACAAAAGAAAGTTTATTGATAATTTTCATTCCTACAGTTCCTACAAAATTAGACAGAATACATTTAAAGCCAAAGAAATGCCATGTTCCCCTAGGACTCATCGGACAACAGAACCACGTCGAAGAAAAATCTGAATCACTGTTCACAGAGGAAATATAGAGGCAAATGTGGAAAACGCCAAACACATTTCACATCACACCTACAATATACAAAAAGTAACAATCCGAGGAAGCAACTCTTGAATTTGAATAATTTAAATCTGAGGTAAATTTGATAAGGCAAAACATGGCCAGCTCAAACAAATTTTCCCATTTGTGGAAAATAACATTCCGAAGTCTCTTATTATGTTAAGTACATGAAATACATTGTTAATTAGCCGGACCTTCTCCAGTCCTGAAGGTACTGAATACGGTAACTTTATACCTCGCCTTATACTAGTAAAGTTGTATTTCGAGATGAATATGCCGCTAAGTACCTATCTTTACCACTTCTGCATCTAGCTCTACACGGACGAAATAGTTAAGACATTAAAAATGGCAGATACATACACAAAATCGCGAATCAATATACGAAACAATCAACTGAAAATTAATAACTGGCCAATGTCAAACAAACCAAAATAGGAATAAAATTTACATTGAAAGCAAATAAATCCAAATTCAAGGATCACTTACACCTGAGTTACAAAGAGCTGAAATGAACATTTCACTTAAATAATAATAATAATAATAATATATATTGACTGCATACTTGTAACAAAAAAATATACATTTGCAGAAGTCACACAATATTGTTGAAATCTAAATCTTCTAAATTTTCAAATTCTGCTACGCTATAAAAGGCATGTTTAATTAATACACATTTAAGAATTTTCCTAAGGCTTAGGATTGATAATTTTCTTATACTTACAGGTAATTTATTAAAAAGTATGACAGAAGTGTTTTGAAAACTCATATATGTTTTGTGTAGCCTACAGTATTTCACATAAATTTCTGTGGACGAACGTGTGTTGTGGGAGTGTATGTCAGATCTTAAGGAATAATTGTCCAATTGAGATTTGGCATACAAGATGCAATTTAAAATATATATAGAAGGAACAGTTAGTGCTCTTAGTTGGATAAACATGTCCCTGCAATCTTCTCTGTAATCCAAGTTGCCAACGATTCTGATTGCCTTCCGTTGTAGTGCAAAAATCCCATTTGAATGTGAGCAATTCCCCCATACAATGTTGCAGTACATTAACTGTGACTGTATTAATGCTATGCGACCCTTAAGACACGAACAGAGACGTTGTCAGATAACCTTCATAATGCAAAGGTATTGCGACCTATTGTTACAGCTAACTGATCTATATGTTTGTTGAAACTTAGTTTGGGATCAATCCAAACTCCAAGGAACTTAGACTCAGCTGGATTTCTATCATAGTTGTGCGGTCTCAAGGACATAACCATTTCCGTTGTTTTAGTATGATTTAGACACAATTCGTTTGCTGCGCACCAATTATCGGCTATCTGAAGTGCTGCGGTAGATGTGTTGATTAAGCGTTCCAAATCACCTGCATTCGTAAGAACAGTTGTATCGTCGGCGTATTGTAGACACTGTCCAATAGTAGAGAGCGTTGGTCCAAGATCGTTAATAAACATGAATAAATAAAAGAGGTCCCAAAATAGAACCTTGTGGAACACCTCTTTTTATTGCTAGCAGATTAGATACCGTTCCATTAGCCT